TGATGACGGCTAATAAGCCAGAAATGGCCATTCCGGTCTCCCTTGTCTTTGTCGGTATCATCTCATATATATATATATATATATATCTAGGTCGGGAGTACGGTATACCACCATTAATATATATATATATATATATATATATCGTGTTTGTCATCCCCCGAGAAAGATGAAGAAGAGAAGGAGATTTCATGGACCAGAGTGTATTCAAACTGACGTTTGGAAACACTCTCGTTTCCATCATCAGAGTCGGTCGCTGGCGTTTCCTGCTGGCCTTGATTTGTTCAGCCTTGCCGCCTGCCTCGTATTATAACCGTGCCCGGCGCACACACGTTGATTAGCCTGTTTTCCGTTGGCCGATTGTGGTCTCTGATCCCAGCCATTGGCGGACTGGCGTGCCTTGTGTCTCCCTCATGACTGTCGTGGTTGCCGTTAAGTCAGCGTGCTCTTCAGCCTCCCCTCGTCAGACGGCGCACTGGCCAACCGTTGCTGCACAGGCGTGGTGCTTTCGGCCTCGCGGGCACGTCCGTGAGATAGTCTGCTACGCTAGTAACCAAAGAACACGGGTTCTAACGTAAGGTCCCACAAACCTGGGGTTGGTAAGACTGGCTGACGGCGGATAGTAAGCCAGAATCTTCCGTTATGTTGCCAACCTGGGAACCTTCCAGTGCTCTTATCTCTCGTCTATTTCTTCGTATTTTTATGCCCCACCTAGACCTGCAAGTGGCTGAATTGTCGAGAAAGAGGTACTCGGGCCTCATTGGCCTTACTGAATCACCTTCATGAGCAGCACTGTACCAAGGCCGGCCTGCCAGCAGCCGCGTCGACACCGCAAGTTGGCAGGACAGCGGGAACCTCTATCATCGCTCCTGATCCTGCCAATGGTTGGACCTCAGCTGTCGCCCCAGTGACCCTCGTACAAATCCAACCCGCGCCTACCCCCGCTGTCGTGTCAATTGCGGCGACGGTTACCACAACCTCTGCAATGTCTGCGGCTCCTGTGTTTGTCGACGGAAAGCCTATTCAGCCGCGCAAACCAGTCACCACCGCGCACCCACCCCTACTGCTCTCGAGTCCGGTCGCCACCGTTCCCGAGGAGAATAAAGTCGTGACAACAGTGACTGCTTCTTCCCCGACCCCTATTAGTCTTGATGCGCAGTTGGTGACCACTGTTGTTCCGGCAACTACATCCACGACACCGTGCACCGTAGGTGTGGGACTGACATCGCCTTTGACTTCGATTACAAGCACGACTACCGTCGTATGTTCTGCATCTGCACCGAATAGTCAACCCGACCCTCTCAGGCCCTTATCTCAGAGGACATTCTTGGCCCCAGGCTCATCGACACCGCCCTCCGTCACCCATGCGAAAATGCAGTCCGTGGCATCCACTCCGGTTGTGTCAGCAGAACGTTTCCGTCAATCAGTACGAGCTGACTTCCTTAGCACAGCCCGTGAAGGACCAGTCACAAAGCACATACGCCTAACTGCCGCTCTCATCTTACACAATTTGACCACCTTTTGTGCGTCTACCAGGAAGTAAGCCCTTTGAAATCTCTTTAAACCCGTGCCTCCCCTTTTGGACCGTATTTTGTGGGATACTGTCCTGACCTCGGTCTGGATACCCGTCTAAGAGGATGACTGCACCAAGGACCAGTGCCATTAACTTTGACGATTCCAGTGTCGATGTGCATAACCTTGTTTGAATATATTGAAGGAGTTTAATGTTAAGTTTTCGAAACCGGATCTTCCATGTTTGGATTTTTAAGGACGTCGGAAATCAATGAAAAACATGCCACTTAAGGAGCGATTTTCATTGAGTGCGCCTTTTGCAGGTGGTCGGAAAGACGCCCACTCAAAAGTCGGCATCTCGGTGTGGCTGAATTGTTCAGACATTATGTTGCATGATAATCATTATTACAACTCCACCTAAGTAATCATTTCTAACCGAAATAACATTCTGACAAGTAATGCCTGGTTTATCTAACGGATGTCATTTAGTCTGCTTATTCATTCTATGAGCCGTATTTGGCAGCCAGGTGCGAGACAACAAATTTCCGTATTCTTAGGACTACAGTCGTTTGCTCATCGTACTTAATTCCATTTTTAAAAGAAATTCGTATTCTTTATATAATAGTTGTACAGAGAAAGTTATAGGCACCCTTGTCTGGTCCGCTAGTCTTACAAATACTAACTGTCGTATATGCTAACTTTCTGTGGTGATAGCCCCCTAGTCCCTAGGACCGTTCCTACGTGTCTCAAAGTAAAATTACTGAATTCTACATTGTCTCATTTATTGGGAAGGATGGCGGGAGTGTCCTCGAAGTCAGCGGCACTTTACATTTATTACTGGGTATGACTGCGCGAACCTTCCAGTCTAAATGCTTTCTAGTACTCCATAATTCTTTGTGTTTTTGGACGCATTCAGCTAGCCGTTTAAATTCATCAGGCTCTTATCTCATGGTTGAAGTTCGGTCAGTACAAATAGCTTTTTTAAATCAATCTTTCGCCGCTTTTCACCCTTAATTTTAAGTCTAGGAGTCGGCTGTTATTTCTGAGCCGACCCCAGTTGTACCTATATAAATGTGTGCACCAAGAAACTAAGCTTCGCGTTTTTTTCTGCACTCAGTCGCGCCGACTTATATGTCGCAGGATGTTAAATCGCAATAGCTCATCGACGTTTTTCTGATTGTTTTTTTAGACGTTTGATCCGGTACGAACCCATTCTTTGTGAGTTGGCTTTTGCGGGAACTGAGGCATCGTCTACTCTAGCCAAGTGTCTGTCTCAATGCTATGAGTCCTTAGATCTCGAGACCACTGGTGACTATGGTTACCAAGCTTCGAATAGTGATTCTGCTGTCCCATCTGCTTTTGCCGGCGACGAACTACCCGAAACCGTCGAGCAGGCAAGGTAGCAGTGGTCTCCCCGTTCCCTGTGTCCGTCTGTTTTGCCCCGATGAAAAAATGCTTTGCTCCAATCTCACCCACCGTCTTGCTTCAGGGATGCGGTCTACCCCAACGTCTGTATCATATGCATCGTCACTGTACAGTTTTGACTTGACTTCTTCCCTTCCCGATCTGGTTGTACACATATGTAAAGTGACCGTCGTTACGTTTTCTAGTGCCACTCACCACTTTGCCCACGCAACTGCTCATAATTGTCCTGTCTTACGCATCCTTTCTTACTTCCTCTGTGTACATATGATTCACATTAATGCCTTGATGTCTTTTGTACTCTTATTCCTTTACTTCTTGATGACAATGTTGATGACGATGATGATTATGCATTGTCTCTGTTGCTCTTGGAATTTCCCTCCTGTGGGTTCCTCTGGTCAGTACATGCGAAAAGCGATATGCGCTTTCACCTGTGAGGATTCCCTTCGTATTTTTGTTGCAACTAATTCAAGTATCAATCATACTACTTCGTTTCCTATGAATGAGTTGATTTCGCAGAAGGGACCATGAACAGCCACTTACCAGCTCTCTGGTCTCAGCTAAGCTGACAACAGTCCGATGACTGGCAACCTTCTGTATGACGGTGATTTTTTAAACTCCGGTTGGCAAAAGTAGGAGCCTACGTGTGAGCATTTGATTTTATTCTCTTGCAGCAGTCCCCACAGATGCCTAAGTAGGTGGATGAGGCGTCACATGAATAGGATCCGTCTCTAAGTTCAAAAATCAACCACAAGTGTTTTTTAAAGGGCTGCAAATATCGGAGTGGGCTGAGTGGAATGACTCCACATCGGCAGGGGCCGCATCCCATCAGAGTTCAGCTATGACAGTTCGACCATCGGTTTCGATGATGTCCACCGTGTGCCCCACAGTTGCAGCAGCAATGGGAGCAGGGACGGTGACT